ACCCCCCCCCCCCAGTACCTCCCTTATATGTCGCCTATGTCCACAGCTGTTAATAGTTTCCCCTCCTTTTTAATGTCCTTGATATTCCACTAATCAAAGTATGCTTTCTTTGGCAATTTTGTTCTCTGTTAGCTATTCCTAGTCTCTCCTTCTATTACACAGTCTGGAAGACTGTTTTTGACTCTTCAAAATCATAATTCCACCCATGGAGTCCAGTCTTCTGCAGCAGACAAGGGCTGCTGACAGTTCAGCTGTGAAAGGGTTAAAACTAAATTTTGCCTGAGCAGGTAAGGGACAGTGAGTGAGCTGATGATTAGACTGTCCCTATTCTATGTGGCCATAATTCTGGAAAAATATTTTTTCTTAATTCTTCCTTTCCAAAAACAAGGTCCGTGTCTTATTTGGGGGCATGTGGTATGCGAGAAAATATGGTAAGTTTCCTTATGGCCATGACTGTGACACTCAGAGACTGAACTTCAGGCTTTTTTTGCTTTTTTCTTATTTAATTATTTTAAGATACACACTCATCTCTGGGAACAGGATACAGCTACTATTTATGGTGTAGTAGAGCAAAATTGTCCTGGTGGTTCTAGTATCTGGAAATGTTGAGATGAATATCAAATGCATTCATTTTGACATTTACAAATTTAGATTAAAATTACTGTTGTTTTCCATCCCTATGACACTTAATATTGGCATCGGAGAGCAAAATAATATTCTGGTTTAGGGCCCTATTCTGCTCCCTTTAACTTCCATGGAAACAGGAACTTCTTCCAAGGAACTAAGATAAAGTTTTATTTGCTTGTTTCCCATTACATTTTCCATTGGTTCTTGCCATTAATAGTAAGAGTCACATTACTTCTGCAAACCAGTCAGGATTATACATATCAGCATGGATCCTGGTTTTCTCTTATTTAAAAAGAGCCCTAAATCCACATTTTTCTGAGATTAAAAAGAAACACCACTGTATATTAGATATATCTATATATAAACAAACAAAATCTACATTTCTGCATTTAGTTTTAATCATGGTAAAATGTGGATATTGTTGAGTTTTTTAAAATCAGAGAATTTTGGATTTTTTTTGTTAGAGAAAACCAGGATCTTTGCATATCAGGTCTATTTTTTCTTCCTTTGTCTGATTTTTCCCCTTTATTTTCCTATTCCTTTTTCATTTTTCCCTCTTGCTTCTTCAAGTGCTTACCATTTAAAAAAAAATTATGCTCCAGTAACTGCAAACAATTTGCAAAATGTTTTCTGAATCAGGCTGAAAGTAATGCTTTTTAACAGTAACCGGAGGACAGTAATTTCTTTACAGTACTATTTTCTCCTTTGGATTACTACTATAAGGTTTTTACTGAGAAACAAGGAAATTTTAATAAAAGTGACCATAGTCCATATTACAGAGACATTTGTTATTGGTCCATGCAAAAAACATTTCCACCTGTGCAACAGCATTTAATGTAACATGCTTGGACACATCCAGGAGGATTAGAAAATGTTACTAGGAATAATGCACTTTATTGTCAGAGGAAGGCTCCCCCTTTGCCTGTTCCCAGCACTTCAGACAGTCACTGGTTTAAAGAAATAAACTTCGTAACAGAGATGGGAACTCAGGGGTATGCCATAACCGACTGTGTTTGTAGTCTTAGTTCATTGCATATTTAGAGCAGTCATTCTTTACCTTTTAAGACTTGAGGCACCCATTCTTAGATTCAAGGCACCCCTTATTAGACTTGAGACGCTCAGAGAATGCCAGCTCTTAGCTTTCACTCATTTTTTGAATATGGAGAAATAGAGCAATTTTTCTGTTGCAAAGAACTCAGAAAGACCACAGAAACCACAGTGTTTTGATACTGTGGATTTCTGTTTGAGCTGTCTGGGCTTATCATGTAAATCATATGTAGGTGTGTGTATCCTGGTTGAGAACCACTGGCTTAAGAGTTAAGCATGTGCCTGAATATTTTTTTAATATTAAGATTTTAATTGATGATATGAAGCTTTTGCAAGTAAAAAATAAAAACATTTAAAGATTTTTTTCCTTTATTTTGAGTATTATTTATGAAAAATAAATACCTATCTGCATTAAAATGTGTATGGATAAATTTTGAATGGTGCTTATAAATGTGCATTTTGGGATACATTTGCAACAAAGCAGCCATACAAGATTGGATACTAGAATGGAGTTGGGCTTTTTTATAGGATGCCAAAAGGAATCTTGTAAACTAATAAGCACTATCATATAAAATGAGGTCTTCCAGTGATGGAGAACGTTATCAATCTGATTACCTTTGGAATGTCAAGTGGGAAAAACTTGTTCAAAATAAAATTATTCATGTTTTACCTTTTGTTATAGGTTGCTGTTTTTTAACAGTGTACAGCACTTAGAGCTATGAAAGAGGTGCTCTATCAGTTGAAGTAAATGTCTTTTACCTTTTATTTTACTACAGTCTTCTCTGTTCCCAGTTATTGCAAAGAAAATGTTCTTCAGTCTGCTTTGGCTCTCAGTCGTGCACTGCAGAATCTATACAGCAGGTAGGATGAAACATTTATGCATTACCAGCTTATTTCTGCTTTTAGGAAACCTATAGAAAAGACAGAAAATGTATTACATTCACAAGACTGACTGAAAGTGTATTGTGAAAATTAGAACATGGGTTAGATATATACCATATATTGAATTTCCTTCTGGTAAATCCCATTTAGCTGGAGTTGGTAATTGACTGAACAGTGTATAGTATAGTGAAACATGAATTAATCACATTGCATTTGTGTTTGATCTTGATTTGTGGTCAGGAAGCTGATGATAAAAACAATACCAGTGTATAGTTGTCACACACACTTGGAAAAAAAACAACCCATTAACTGGATTGTTTTTCTCGTCCCATAGTAAATGTGGGTGTATACATTTGAAAGCTAAGTTTTATTTCTATCAGGTAATCAGGATATGGTATTTTTTCTGGCATGAAAAATATTTGGCTCCACAAAACAAATTAACATAACTTAATGAATAAACTGTAGTACATTTAATGGCACTATATTAATTGAAGCTAAATTTACATATTCAGATTTCAAATTTAATAAATGTTATGTTTATGTATTGTTCTCTGTTTAAAAAGCCAGTATTTGCCACCAGTGAACATTTAGTAGTATCGAAGATTCTAGTTTTTCCCTATCCTTAGAATAAGAAGCAAGAACAACAGCTTGGCAAAATATTAACTTTGGTGATAGATTCCATGTGATTCGCATGCAATTTGTTATGTATTACTTTGAGTTGTTTCTGTGCTCATCACAAGACAGACAATAGAAATCATAGGTGGGGGGAGTTGTCTCAAGTAATTCAGAGTTAAATGAAATAAACCTATGAAGCTAAGTACAGTCAAAAAACCCAAGGCTGAATCAATTAAATCTTTGCAGGTTTTTAAAAACTGCTTAGATTGAACTAATAAGCAAGCGAAATGATGTTACTTTTCAAACAGGAAAGTCAGCCAGACCCCTGCAGTGGCCCATACGAATAGTTGGGGGGTGCTAGAGCACACCCCCCAGCCTGCTGGCCACTGCAGAGAGCTGGAGCCCTCTGATTCCTTAAACCATGCCCCTTCCTCAGCCTCCCTGCCAGCTGAGCAAGCGGTTGGGAGGGAAAAAACCTACCCGTTCTGCCTGGCCCTGGATCCTCAGCTGGGAACAGCCTGCGGGTAGGGAGGGAAGCTGAAACTGGGGGCTCTACTCTGCCACTTCCCCCAGCTGGGAGTGGGGCTAGAATCTTGTAGCCACATCTCCTTCTCAGTCTCCCCACGGGTTGATGCAGTGGGAGAGGGAAGTCTGCACCTGGACATGGCTCTGCCCCAGAGCAGAGAGCTAGGAGCCATGCCCCCTCCGCAGTCTGGGTAGGCTGGCGGGGGAGAGCAGCTCACAGCAGGCGCTTGACTCATGAGTTGGAAGCCAGGAGTTGCACCCATTACTCAGCCTCCAGGCTGGATGGGGGAAAAGCCCCACCTCCCAGCCAGCCCAGAGGCTGAGAAGGAGGCACAGCTCCTGGCTCCCAGCTCTAGAGGGCAAAGTCAAGTCCCTGCTGCAGACTCCCCCTCCTTTCCCCAGGCTGGCAACATCCATCTGGGGGTCTGGTTCCCTCCTCCCCCCACCGCCACTCCAACCTGAATTTTGCAAAAATGCTACATGAACCTTTTTGGTGTTGTGCCTTTCTGGATGATGATGATAATGAC